CGAGGAACGACAGATCTGGCCTGCTGCCTCTGTCCCTCCGCGAGTTGCCATAGGGACTGTTCCCCGGCCTGTCGTGTGTTGATGCAGCGGGACCGGCAGCCGACGGAGAGGTGGGCTGGTGTGCACTGGAGCGGCGGGCGTGGCCTCTCCGCTCCGGCTGCGACTCTTTGCCCTGCGAGTTGCCCATGGTGAGGGTGGTGGGATGGATGGAGGAATTAGGTTATGGATGTTTACGTCCAAGGCGGATCGCGGCGGGCTCGTAGCAAGGCGGCCCGTCGATGCCCAAGTGCAGTGACGATGTCTGTGCGGGCAGGGATCAGGTCGTTATCGCGACGATTAGCGACAGCGAGGTGGTGAGGGTGTCCGGTGGGAGATAGCACAGTGTCACAAGGACATGGATGCTGGGGAACCTGGCCGTGGGTGGCCCTTTCCTCGACGCGTCTCAAGAAGTGCGACCAGAAGGAGGCGGCAGTCGCGATCGACAAAAGGGGCGCATGGGCAGCGGAGCAGCGAGGTGCAAGCGGCGACGGAGCGACGTCGACAGGTGCTGGTGTTGAAGAGCGAATCCTGAATGATGTCGTTTCTTGGCAGCAGGCCAGGGCGTCGATCGCAAATGAATGTTGCGTATGAGGTAGTCGTAGGGCCGAATGGGCGGGGCGAGGGAATCAGGCTTCAAGATCAGTCTTGGGGCTTTGGGCACGTTGCTTCACCATGTATTCATTCACACAGCACTGCCAGCTGGAAGCTGTCTGTATAGGGAGGTAAGACGGCAAATAGGCTGGCGACATCTGGGCCTATATGCAGCCATGCCATGCAGCTAGGTACTGGAGCTTGTGCCGCTTAGCCCGCGCCGCCACGATACCAGTACCAGGAACCAGATCGCTATTCCCGCCCGCGCACTCCAGCCCCGACAACATTGTCGCTTCACTCTTGCACCATTTCGCCCACACCGACCAATTTCTCTCCAGCTAACTGTGCTGCCAAGGTAGACATCTTCGCAGTAGTTGGGCGACACGCGAGCACCACCACCCCGCCCAAATGCGGGGCTCCAGGTATTGACAGTTGGCCGTGGGTCAACGGGTTGCATAACATTCTGCTTACTACCTCTGCTCCTACGCACCTAGCCCGCCCGTCCCTGCCCTCTCAAACTCAACTCCCATCTCATGTCAGATTGTTCCAAACTCCCACGACGACTCCCAGTGGTACTTGTCTCCAGGGCCGGATATCTGCTTGTCGAGGCGACCCCACTCCGGACTGTTCAACAATATTAGCTTGCGGCCTTGCACGACGTCATCATGTACTCACTGGTTGATGCCATCAACGTAGTCTTGGGCTTCAATAGCAATGCAGCCGTCGCGCGGGATGAACTTGTCTTGGCCTGCGACGCCCTGAGTGTTCTTGAATTCGCTCTTTCCATCGTTCCAATTGCACGTGTACAGCACTACAGCATCTTGGTTGGTCGTCAACTTAGCCTTGATGCCGCTGTATGCGCTTGACAGTGTGAGTACAGCCGCGCTCTTGTTCCTGCTCTCGTTGAACGCCCAAGCGCCGTTGTAGCCGTGGCATCCGTTGCCGCAGTGGTTCTCAAACTCGGCATTGCCTGATGCAAACCCAAGTTCATGCGGCGCCGACCAGACTAGACACAAATCAGTACCTATCTCACGTGCGGTTTGTGGGAGGAAAACGCCTACAATCGTCAATGGCTCCTGCAGGGATCTGCGCAATCTCGCCGGTAGGGAGGGCGTTCGCATCGGCGACAAGGGCTCGCTTAGCCTCTGGCATATACACAGTATGGTTCCAGACCGTGCGGTTGTCAGGTCGTTTGAAAGCATCAAGCTGGAAGTAAGTGTGCTGCGTCAGCATAAGAGGCGTTCTTGCTTCTGGAGATATGGCATCCATAGAGATGTGCCACTTGTTCTTCGAGACCGAGTATGTGACGCTCGCATCGACGCGGCCGATCATACCAAGAGAAGAGTTTGATGCGTCGCTGATTGAGAAGGTGATTGAGGAGTTGGTTACGGCGCTAACATTCCACACTCTGAAGGACCAGTTGTTTGTGCCGCTGTGAAGGGTGTTTGGACCATCATTCTTTTCAGTGTGGTAGGTAACGTTGTCGAGGGTATATTCGCCATTGCCAATGCGATTGACGTAGCGTCCAGGAATTGCATTGTAGACGGGATGTCCAGGGTCGACGGCTGCAACATGTTAAGTAATGCTAGGTCAAGCGCGCGACGGCGGGCTTACGGTAGTAAGAGGTATTGTCGTAGCCTAGAACTATATCTAGCTCTTGACCCGTCGGATCTGTAACTGTGTCAGTAGAGGTTATCTTGCACTTCGACTGAAATCTACCTTTGACAAAGAGGTTTGTGAGGGTAGCAGCGTACGGAATGAACTGCGCTCTAATCCCTTCTGCCTCAATCGTGTACCTTCCTTGTGCATCTGGATGTGGAGACCCTGGGTGTGCAAGCGCACCTCGCGCTGCTGAAATTGCAAGAAGAGCAGGAAAATACCTCATCGTGGAATAGGCTGTCGACGAGTGCTAGAGTAGGAAGGGACGACCGCGCCAGTAAATACGATACCTACGGAAACCACATCTTTATACATTACAATTCACTGCCGCCCCTCTCAAATTGCATACTACTTCATTTCTAGAAGTTCACCTTCATATAAAACCTCATGGGGCGTCATGGGTGTATCCGGGGTTAAACGGGGGCTTGGCTATATAAAGCAATCTGTCTGAGATAGTACCCCAGAACTCCTGCAGGTACTAAATGGCTTAGCCGAGCGTCTCTAGGCTCCAAGTAGGTCTTAGAGTGCATTCAGTCCTCTTAAACTAGTTCAAATCTGTATTTACTGTTTGATAGAGGGTGGAGGGCTATAGACATGGAGGCGGTTCTGCGGAACGTTACTTGCCATGTGGGGCGACGAGCCGGGTGTTGTTTCCGTGGGGTTTCCCTGACCATGCCTGCTTTCTTCCACCTGCGTCAGCGACCCTCGGGTATTCCACAGAAGCATTGTTGCCGCCCTGTTGTGAAGCATGTGTCTATTTTTCGTGGGGTTTTTCTTATCATGCCATTCGTAGCCACTAGACATACTTGGTGCCATCAAGAAGAACGTGTGCAGCCTCAGTCACGGACTTTGAGCCTAAGGAGTCCGAATTTCGCGTCTGCTCTGAGCAAAATCGAGAGGACTACAGGCTACTTCTCACTGCGTTGCGCAACAGTATAGCCCAGTCGGTGAGTATGGCGTTGAAAACATCTATCGAAGTAGAACATGGACAATATGTTCATTGGCACCTGCAGCATCCTGCCGCGTGTCGGGCGGCCTAACATACCTGCTTATGTGCTTCTGGTGCTGTGAAAATCGATCTTACGTTTGCACATCACAGACATCCCTACCATCAAAGCTTTCTGATTGCATCAACATGGGAGCACTCGAGTTCATCTGCGATCGAAGGTTTCACCGCAGTTTCGTGGTTCCCGCGAACCCTGAGTCCAACACATCCAAACCCTACCATGTGTCTTACTCCGACTTTGGCGACGCCGACAGCAAAGCAATCGTCTTGTTCTGTGGAGCTCTGTTCGGTCAGCGCTTATGTTACGCACCCTTGGACCAATTAGCAAAGGCCCACCATGTCAGAATCATCCATCCGGATCGACCTGGCGTTGGTGGTAGTGAAGCTGTGGAGCCTGAGAAGCGTGTACAGACCTGGCTGGGTAAAGTCAACAGTGTCCTTCTACGAAGTTAGCTGATTCATTGTTACAGAAATGGCCCCCAAGCTTCTGGCGCACTTGAACATCTCGCATGTTTCGATTGCTAGTCACAGTGGAGGCGACATCTACCTCATGAACTTTATTCTCGCTTACCCACATCTGTTGAATCCCAATCGTCCATATGTCGCTTTCTTTGCTCCATGGGTCCATTACTCGCATTCGAAGATGACGCATCTACAGGCTACTGAGCTTCTCCCTGCTTCGTGGATAGGAAAGTTTGGCTCAATCGGTAGATTCGTCAACCAAAATATCATTCCAGTGGTTGGCTTGAGTGGCGCATTCGTGAAAGGGATTTCCGCGCCACTTTCGCATTCAGATCCCACAACAGCTCCCGTTGCACTCACAGTGTCTGGGGCTGTCGACTCTGGAAGGCCAGAGGATGGTCCTCACGACGTTTTCCAGGACATCGCACTCGACGATCCAAAGGCTGTGGATGACTTGCGAGAACACATCACCAAGTTCGTCTTCGCCGAAAATGTGGACGGTGTCTCGGCAGACACCCAGTTGCTCCTAAAGCGCTCTGTTCCATGGAGTACACCCGTTGTCGAGTGGAAAGATCTCGATGATGCTGTGCAGCTTCTTTCGAAGACAATTGCCGAAGATGATCGACTGGCAGGCAGTAACAGGGTCTGGTCTATCGACTGCTTTCATGGTGAGCACGACCAGTTGGTTGGTGACAAAGGGAGGGATTGGTTCAATGCCATCTGGACGCCGAGCCAGAGCTATCAGTATCGGCCCTTAGTCATTGAAGGCACTGAGCATGATTTCTTGATGGATCCAACTTTCGGAGCGAGCGAACAATGGCTGCAACGGGTCAGCGAGTCCTGGCAAACTTCACAACCCGACGCAGCGGCTCCTTAGCACTCAGTCAACATCTCTACCTTGCGGTGTTCTTTGTAGTATCTTATCTATAGCGATTCGTAGTCAGGTTCAGATATTATTCCCTCGGCTATGCACAGAGGCTCGTTTTCCTAGGTACAGAACATGAAAGTACACCCTAAGAATACATCTTCATTAGTCGTCAGTCGTCAAACTCTACAACTTAGAAGCCATGTAATTACCTCTAGGGTAGTGATCAAGATACAGCTTAACCAAAGTGAGCTTCTTCGTACTGCCTACAGTGACTCGTGCATCTTCGGAGATAACGCCCAAACGCCGATCTGACGTCTTCACCGAAGCGAGCCGCAGGGCTGAACACGCGAACACCATCATAGCCCCGTTCCAACCATGGCCGAAGACATGCAGATAAATCCCCAACGCGCGAAGCAACTCGCCGAAAACATCGCCAGCATAACCTCGCGCATCAACGCCGTGAGCAAAGGCGGGAAACAGGTACGTCCTCCCCAAATCTCTCGAGCCTACCAAAAACCCAGCCAACATCTCTGACGCGCCCCAGGTCCGCCTCATAGCCGTATCTAAACTCAAACCTGCAAACGACATCCTCGCCCTTCACCAACCCTCCAATCCCACGCAAACCCATTTCGGCGAAAACTACGTCCAAGAGCTCCTCGAGAAGAGCAAGATCCTCCCCCGCTCCATACAATGGCACATGATTGGCGGTCTGCAGTCGAACAAATGCAAGCAGCTGGCTGAGCAGATACCAAATCTGTGGTGCGTTTCCAGCGTAGACAGCGAGAAGAAGGCGAACGAGCTGGAAAAGGGAAGGAAAGCTTTGGTCGAAAAGGATGGGGACAAGGTAGAGGGGAAGTTGCGCGTCAAGGTGCAAGTCAATACCTCAGGTGAAGAAGCGAAATCTGGCGTCGAGCCCTCGGACACACTATCCCTCTGCCGACACATCATAGACAAGTGTCCGCACCTCCAGCTCTCTGGTCTAATGACCATTGGTGCGATTGCGAGGAGTAAGGAGACGACTGCGGAAAACGAGAACGAGGATTTCGTCGCGTTGAAGGAGACGAGGGATCAGGTTATCAAGGAGCTGGGGTGGAGAGAAGAGCAACTGGAGTTGAGTATGGGCATGAGTGCGGATTTTGAGGGCGCGGTTAAGATGGGAAGTGATGAGGTCAGGGTGGGGAGTCAGATTTTTGGAGAGAGGCCACAGAAGAAGGATGCTGTCATCAAGGAGAAGGAGGCGCAGGAGAAGAGCTAGGCGGGTTAGGTTCGCACACAGGTATCGACATACAATCATGTCTCATCATCATTTGCTCAAACATGGTCGCCGAAGCCGGGAGTCATCTAAGGGTTAAAAAGCTGCTGGATAGACTTCTATTATTCGTTCTGAGCTACACGAGTACTTAGTTGGGTTCTCAAGGTATGTTTGCGGTACGTTATATGATCTAAAAAGAACATTCGAGGTAGGCATAAGTTCCGAAGGAATACCATACATTGGACTTGTACGTACACGTTACTTTTCGTAACTTACAGGCAAAATAGAAACCACGAGCATCTCTTAGAAAATATCTCATTGATCGCTCTTTAATCAGTATTGTTCACACTTTGGGATATAGCATTTTACCCCACATTTCCTTGGAAAGCTCGTCTACGTACCTTTCCAGGGGCTCTTGTTTAAACCGACAATCCTTTGCCGCTTCTTAGCTGTCCTCAGGATTATGGTCTGGGAAGATATCGCATCTAAATAATCAGACGCGGTCTAGACACATAATCAACGCAAAGTTTTCCCGGAAGCTGCGAAAGAATACATCAGTGTATGGCACAAGAAGACATCCGAGGTTCCGATAGTATTTTTGTCTGTGTATAATATCAGGCTGCTGACGTTCAGTGCCTTTGCTAAATAAGAACAGCTGATCGAATAGGTGGCTGTACGTTTAGATTATCTTAAACTCTCCTTCCCTTGCCTCCTTCTCATGAAAATCATCCAATTCCTTGCTCTCGGAGCTCCACTTATCAGAGCCCTTCGATACAAGAACACCGATACGCTCGTATTCATCCTTAGTCCCCTGGACTGCTCTCAATATGAGCCAACAATGTGCACGAGGTTTCATCCTATCGCCAACTCTTAGGAGTTGAAGAGCAACAACTTGCACGCTCTCCCCCTGAATGAAACGGTCCCAAAAGAGGTCGCAATGAACAGAATCCGATGATACGGGCCGCACCGACCGCTCTAGCGTAGTCTTATCCTGCTGCATCTTGCCGGCTAGAAAATTTCCTTTCAGTACGATAGCTCCACTAGATAATTGGCCCATAGGATCGTCTCCTTTGGGTGTCGTTGTGGCGTCAAGAACAGTAACACACGATTCAATCGTCCATGTGCCAACATCAACAACGTATTTGAACCAGCTTACTCCTCCTTGGATCGCAGCCTACGACCAGGACGGAGCACGCCATTCTGTAAGATTGTTCTCGGCTGGTGTGTAAGCGATCCAGCAAAGACTATGCGGTAGGCCAAACTCCCAATGCCCAGCAAGGTATCTGCCCATGCTTGATGGAACCAGTTTTGCTAGTCCTTGTAGCGCTGGGAAGATGTCGCTAGGATATGTGAGTGATTTTAGCGCGTATATTGACACCATGCGCTCCCAAGCATCTTGGATCTCCGGGAGCGAGTGCATCTTCCTTTCTCTAGGATCCCAATATTTGTCAATGCCAAGCGTACCATTGGTGTGATCACCACATTCACATTGAAAGGACGTTCGGCACTCCCACCATAACTCTTGTTCCATGAAGTGTACGATTCTTCTAGATAGCAATCGCTCCTGGAAGACCCATCCTCTTCCCTGTAGCGGTGCTGCTAATCCTCGAAGCGGCTCGTGATAGTGTACTTCGTATATATTGTGATCGCTATTCACGAATCGCTTCGTGCGAGATCTGTATTGTTGCTCAGGTGTCACAAAGCAGCCTTGGTCAGGATTTGTTGCCCATGTTGCAGACAAAGTGATAGATGCATTAGTGTAGATTTGAGCCATCAGACTCCCTTCATGGCGCCAATCATCAACTGAGTCTTGTATGATACCTGAAATATAGTTAGTGGGTCCTATCGAGGGAATCTACCCAGTGAAATGGAAAGACTAACATAATGAATCAATCCAAAGGTATTTGAAGCCGAGGCTATAGGCGAAGTGGATGGCATCTTGGAAGGTTCTGGGTAGTTCCCCCCAGGAAAAACCGACAGAGTACTGCTTGATCGTGCTCTTGGTGGTCTGTAGTACTGATTTCCCGCCCCAACAATGACTTAGACAGGCATACTCGGCTTGTTCATCATTCGAAGTATAAAGTCGCGCTTTCCTAGGCCCATCCATGCGGATTACCCTTGTTGGCAGTTGCGAGCTTGACTTGTCGGAACATTTTCCGTGATCCAAGAGACACTCAGAATACCAGGCTTTGACTTTCTTGACAGCAGCTGGAGAGCCTGTATCTTCGGTAATCGTATGGCTCGATTTCATATACCGCCACGGGCACGGAGAGTCTGCCTATGTCAGCAAAAGTGCCTCGGATTGGCCTAGAAATGGAGTCACCTTTTGTATCTGAAAAGGATTCTTTTTCGTGCTCAGCAGGTAGGATTTTAACGAAAAATTCTAGTACCCGACTGTCAGAAGTCCCCCCGAAACCTCTGTATGTCAAAATACGACTGAAATACTCATTTTTGAAAAAGGTGCGACCGCCTCCAAAGAGAAGACGTATTTTGTTCCCTTGCCAATCAAGCCAACCCATGTAAGGTGTGAGAATCCAAGCGACAATCTCACAACCTTTGCAACCTGCTTCAGCAGAACCAATGACCCTTCTGCCAGGCTCGCGTTGCTCTCGGTATGCTCCTAATGTGTACTTTCGACGATAGTCAGGATCCCAGACCTCATTTCCGAGGTTGAGGCACAAAGGACATATCGACCCAGGAAGAACTTCCACCCTAGCTGTTTCAACAGTAGTGGTCTGTGGTAAATCTTGCGACAGCCGAGTAGATTGAGGTTCAAGCTCTGTAGTCGAAGGGGATAGCTCTACGCCAATGGGTAGCTCTTTGATACATGTAACTAACTGCGCTATAGTCATGGGTAGCTTTGCTGAGCTGGGTAAAGATTGCTGTGTTCCTGAAGGATTCATCGATCTGGCAAGTTTGAAGGCTTTGAAGCTTTTCCTATCCACTCCAGCCATTTTCAATAGTGTATAGAGGTGCTAACCGAAGATCGCAAAGAGACACGCAGAATAGCATAAGGCGAAATTTAGGGGTGTACAATGAACGCAGTAGCGAGAAGAGCTGAAGATGGAAACATCAATGGTGACAGATTTGAGTGCGGCTGAGGAGGTATCACTCAGCCTGATCACGTGTACGCGGGGCGCAGGCACACTCAGTCTAAGCCACGACGCCACCAAAAGTCGGTCTCCAATCGTACATTTCATCATTACAAAACCATAGATAACTCTGATTTCCCCCGTATAGTACACACACCTAAGCAGCAGGATCTAAAAAGCCCTCCAACGTCTCATAGTTCAACGGCCTAAACAGCTCATTACTCAGATCCGCCCCGCTACTTCCCAACAAACCCTCAAAGTTCTCAAACGCCGCATCGAAGTTCAGCCAGTCCGGTGACTGTTCTGCGAAACCAAAGCCGGCGGGCGGACCTGCCATAGGCGCACGATCTGCGCGCTCGCTACTTGTCGGGTGTTGACCGGGCGTGGGAGCAGGTATTGGGTTGAGAAGACTAGTCATGGGCGAGTTGGCGTGAGGATGATGCTGTTGTTGCTGGAGTCGAGGATCAATAGGCGTATCACCCATATTCTGTGACCAAGGTTGCGACTGATTTTGTGGTGGCAGTTGGCTATGTGTAGCTTGCGGTGTTGGCGGCTCGGTCTTTGGCTCGGTTTGACGAGGTTCTGCTGGGGCAGGTACGGGTGTATTAACAGCATTGGTGTTGCGTCCTGCAGCATTGCTGAGCACAGCTCGTCCTAGATCTGCTGTCGTGCCTGCAGACCACCATGCGTTTCGTAAGCGATCGAGGAGGCGGACACATTGCTTGAGTTCTTCGGTGGCGCGATTGACGTGGACCTTTAAGCGGCGAGACCGGAAGTGACGATATACTACGCTGAGAGCTACACCTAGCGCGTAGGGTACGATGGGGAGGGGTGGAAGTAGCTCAGGAGATTCAGCGTTGAGGAGGTGGATCACTCGCGTTGCTGAGAGACTTTGTCGGACGTAGGAGGGTGTCGATTTGACGGGCGCATTGATAGAGAGGGATTTGTGCGAGGCCATGCACATGGTGTGATGGAAAAGTGACAGGAGGCCTGAAAAAGTTAGCAAACATCGCGAGCTACAAGATAGTATGTCTTACTCATGATAGGACCATCAAGCTTGTCTTCGCCGTCTCCCACCATCTCCTCGAAGCCTAGGAAGTCGTCGCCCTCCCATCCTGTCTCCTCGGCAGCTCTGCCAGGCCTGTAGTAGTCGATGACCTTGTCCAGCATCTCTGAAATCTGTAACCATATACCAAACGGACTGGATCGCTTCTCGGGGTCTGAGGGTAGCTGTCTCAAGCTGTTGTCGCGGTCATGCATAAGCAACGGCCTTCCGTTCATACATGCGTTGATCTTGTCCAGACTCCACAAACACCAGAAGACGTCTTCCAGATTTCCTTGGGATTCTGAGCTTTGGTTCTTCCATTGGTGTCCAAACTGGAGGCCAAACGTATGCGCATGGTGTATTGCTTGCGCCAGATGCATTGAAGATTGCTCGGCGCCTTCTGGACCTTCGCAGTGGAGTGAAATCAGGGCAAGTACTTGGATGAGCACGACGCGATTCTTCTCCAACTTTGCCTCGATACCAACGATGACCGCATTGTAAAGTCTTTGAGAGAACTCGCGCGGATTGAGCGGTTGGGTGTCATTCCCCAGACACAGATGTTTGGCAGCTGTTGCATGTTTTGATGCCACGATACAAATCGCTTGCATCAGGATCCGCGGTTCTCGGCCATAGTTATATTGCTCGTAGAATAGTTCCTTGTCAACGAGTGGAAGTAGTGGGTGTACGTAGCTAAAATATATCTCGAGAAGGGCCGTCTGATTTATGCGAGAAGGTAAGATGTCAACACCAACAGCGTCTAGGTAAGTCAGGAGAGCCCTAGATATTTGATCCTCTTGGTTGGAATGTGGACCTGTTTCTACAATCCGTGAAGAGCTTGATCCCGCTTGAGTCGAGGCTGGTCTTTGATCTCGTTCTTCGATCCATTGCCCTATTGGAGGGTGGTTGGGTGACTGAGCAGTTTTTCCGCGTTCAGAGTGAACTTGCTCTCGCAAGACAGCTTCGGGATTGAGATAGCCTAGAAAGTTGGGTGGTGTTGGGGCGGTATGATCCGAAGCCGGGCTTTGCGGCGGCGGCATTGTGGATTGAGCATGGCCGTAATCTCCACGGGCACCCCTGGGATCATGAGGATGGTAGTGTCCATTTGTTGTAGGGCTTTCTGTTGATGTCGGATTGCTTCCGCCACCACTTTGGGTATTGCTTCCGGGTTCGGCCTCGTCATCGAACGTATGTGAGCAACGCTTCTAGTATAGAATTAGACGACAGCCACAGGCTTGCTGCATCCTTGGAACTTACTCTCCGCTTCTTGCATGATTCGCACGCGCGGTGGACTCCTGCGACGCTGTTAGCTGCGCGTTGCGACGTGCGCACGGTCTATGCGTACTTTTGCGCTTCCGGAAAAATTCGTTATTCGCAGCGAACGTAATCATTGTAGACATCTCAGAGGGATAGCGGTATGCGCGCTTTGTCCCGACAGCGTAAAAATGCGTGTATAGTTGGTAGTCTAAGGGGCGTTTGTTGTCCTCATGACACAAGGTCGCCCGGAGCTCAAGCTGGTGTTTCCTACACGTGATGATCCGGTCGCGCCTGCCGCCTCCGCATTTGGTGGCGCGCGTGGAGCCGAGGCGATTGGCTAGCAGAGCGGAACACGACCTGCTCCTAGCTCCGGTTACTATACATGCAGCCGGAGGCTTTATCAACCTTGATTTCGACCGTTTGCATAGTGCGGAGAAGCTATCGCTAGACTACATACTGCAGGTGTTCGCTACATCTATCACGCGGGCTGGCATGGCAAAATACAATGTATACCTTCAAGGTGTGCTTTCGCCATCTGTAGTACAACGCAGGAACACGCGCCTCTCCGTCGCTGACGCCAATACGGGTTCCCATCTCACATCACCTTGTACTCCGTCTGTCCGCCACGTCCCATTCCTGATACGGTTGCGCTTCCTGCCGTCGATAGTGTCGCTGCTTTCGACTCGCTCCGATTGATTGTACTCGACTTCGCGCTTCCCCTCACCTGGCTACATACGTACCACGGATATCAACTCGAGTATGTTGTTCCTGCGATAGCTTCCGCTTTGGAGAGACTTATTTTTCACAAGTGTCGTTTGAGTTGCGGGTGTTGAGAATGACTGGTCCCTATCCGTCTTCTTAGCATTTAGATGGCGACCCAGATATGGCAGCGCGCATACGTTACTGGTTCGATGCACCCTTTTCGTATGCCCTTCTCGTATGCAATACTCGCGCAAAGCTTCAGACAATAGCGCGAGAAAAGTGCCCGACGACCTTCAGCAGACTAAACGACGACTCCTACTGTATGGTATTGGTCGTATGCGCCAATAAGCCCACCGGAAGATGAGGCACCCCCAAAGAACTCGCGGCCATCTTGTCACTGTTTGGACCCAAGACAATAGGGTCCGGGTACCCTCGCTACATGGAGATACATGTGATCTCGCAGGCACGCGATGATACATCTGTCCAAAGACCCTCCATCGCGTAGGGTCTGCCGAATGCCGATACTGTAAATGTCAAGCTGTTTTTCACCTGTCAGGTTTGCTCTATCATCCAGTCTGATGATGTCGACCACAAACAATTCGAAATCTCCTGTATAGATAAACGGGCACAGAGGCTGCTAATTCGCCCAACGCATATCCAGCATGGTCGAGCCAGAAGCCGGTATCTTACGCCTTGCAACCGAGTTGCGTCAGATGATTTACGACTACATTATCAGCGCCAAATCAGACCGAACCATCAAGGTGATACTGGATTATTACGGTGATGTTCATTTCGAGAACTGCAAGTTCATTCTGAATCTTATCTGCACTGACACAGTCTTTAGACAAGAAGTGCCCTCCTACTTGTTTGAGCGTTTCACCTTCGTGTTGACAGACAGAAAACGTACCTGCTACCCTATTGTCGAGGCTTTCTCCAAAGCCCTTTCGCCGAAGAATCGCGTCTGTGTACGAAAAATTGTCATACCGTTCTTCACTAACCGAGACTATTTCAATCCCCCACGCCCTAGCCTTCGGAGGGAAGACGCCTTTGATTCACGCGGTTGGGACTCAATGGAAAGTATCAGATTAAGGGGGAAGCAGAAGATGGCACATAAGAGGTTGATCCAGCAGGAGTTAATACAGGAGAAGTTGTTGCGTCAGGGCCTTTCCTCCGCTCTCTTACTACTAAACTCGATGCCGGCTCTGAAGAATCTCGAACTGGGTGTCGACGTCACCGAGGTCATTGGGTATGTCGACAGTGGGACTTTCGACTTGCCTAGCAGTAGTGAGTTCCTCATATGGCTGGCTACAATTCGGTCGTCTGGAACATTCGCTCTTAATCACCCTTTGTCTATAGCGCTGCACTCGATCAAAAGTATGGGGAAGCTTCGACAAGTTGAATTGAAGTTGAAGTGGAGCAACTTTATCTTCGATTCATACAACAGGGCTGGTCATAGATTTCCGCAGGAATGGACGCAGACTGTTAAAGAAGAATTGGAAGGGTTGTTCGAAGACTTCCTACGGCGTGAACCCTGGCCTAAGTAGCCTAGTCAGAGTAGAGATAAGCAGAACCTGATTCTCACTCAGATGGCAGATGGCATGTTTCTGTCTCAGCATGTGTCCATAAGAATTCACTAACGATACACATTCTCAAGGAACCGTTCATCAACCTTGCTTCTTCCCCTCCTCTCTCAACCGCGTTCTAACATCCATCAGCGCCCTTCCCAGCAGATTCTGTCCCCATCTATGCCGATTCCTCTGTGCGTCTCTCTCCGCAAACCCCACGCCCCAAATGCGATCGGAAGGGCTAGCCTCAACCAACTCACGCTCACCAGTAGCTAGCAGCATGCGCCTCAGATTTTCTGCATTATCACTAATGGTGAACTTGTGATATGTACCCTGTGTCACAATCTCTAGTTTACCTAGTTCCTATTCAGCAATCTCTTCTTTCCTTCCTTCCTTCCAGCGGGTGAAAAGAAGCACTTACGTTCATCCCAAATCTTTGCATTCAACCCCCTAACCTGTCGTCCCAAGTCTTTGTGTTCCTTCGGATTCGTAGTCTGTAGCATCTGTTTCGCAATCTTTTCGTCGCCGAAACAACGCGCTTTTTGTACCATCATCCACATTTCTGCTTGTGCGTAGGTTTCGTTGTCGACGGTGAACTTGGACCAGTACCATTGGGAGAGGTAGCCGTGACCATCGTTTGGTTTCCAGAAGAAGACAGGTTTGGTGGAGGGTGTGGCGGAGGTAGGAGAAGAGGCCGAAGAGGAGGAGTTAGGGTGGGGGATTGTTGTTACTGGCATGTTAGAGGGGTGTGGTATCGGGATTCGGTCGGTGTGCGATATTGTACGAGTTATTGTGATTGTGTTGTGATACTCTATTTTTGAGTGATTACAACGGTAAGAGGTTTATACAAGACTCGGTGTATCGTTAATGTGGTAAGTGTTTGACGATATGACTCAACCATGTTCATGCTTTCCTAGGCAACATTGATACCTCAGGCACTAGCCGTGGTTTGAAGGCACTTGCGCCCTTACGCCCTTCTTGAGCGGTGCCACCCAAGGTACCGAAGGTAATTCGTCTCACGCTGAGATCACACATACAGAGGACTGCCGCAAACACCTCACTATCATAGAAGATACCGTCTACCACAAAAAACAACGCTCCAATGTATATGATCATGCTACATGAACCAATTCAGAAAAAAAGGGTATGCGCCATATCTTAATGTTTTCCCCCCTTTCAAAACAAGCGCTACCACACATGCAGCCAGCCCAATCATCAAACAAACTCTCTCCTTCCCTCTCTTTCTCTTCCAACTTGCCCAGACCCAGACAAAAACATTAGTTTATGAAGAAAAAAATCGCGGTCTCGGGGAAATGTAGAAATAATCATGTTTTTGGTGGTGGTGGAAGCATTGAAGTAGAGAGGTGGTGGTGGCGTGAACGAGAAAATAATTTACCCATTCTAAGCCATTCCCTCAATACCCTGCGAAAGTCGATCCTGCATAGCCTTGACCAGCACCGGCGGAACCGACTCATCAGTCGCCCTTATCGTAATGCGGTACATCTGTTCTCATCGTTAGTTTATGCGCCCTTGCTCAAGTACCCAATAACATCATCATCACGTACCTGCGTCTCGAAATTCGGTTCCAACCTCAACAAGCACCCAAATTTGCCCTCACTGCTATGCAGCACCGTGGCTCCCACAATATTCTTAACATTAGGATCCACACCCGTAACGATCCCCCACTTGAACCCCTTGACCACCTTTTGAACAAAGTCGCTATCCATAGTCCTATTCTTGTTTACCAGACCAAAGATACTCTGGTGTTCACGCGGCGCGCCGCCGATTTGCTTCCACCGCTTGAAGAAGTCTTCGGCAGAGAGTTCGGCGCCTTCCATGTACTTGTGTAGGAGGACGGGAAGTTGTAAAGTGAGACCCTGGAGGGCGCCTGCGAGGTACGAGATACGGATCGTAGGTGGGTCGATGAAGACGTTTTTGCATTCGAACATGATTGTTTGTTGGGTCTGGCCTTCGGGAGCGATAGTGGTATCGGGGAGGCCCTTGATATCTGTTTTCAAGGTTTCTGCTGACCGGTTATCGAGCGTGGTTGTGAAGGAGCCCATGGAGAACTGTGACTTGTTCGTAAAGTAGAAGATGAGAGCGCCCAGTTGTCCTCGGTACTCTGTTCGGAGGCCGACTTGTATCTGCTGGTCTTCGTAGAGTACGCCCTCTGGCCGCAGGAGCAGACGGGTGTATCCGACCTCCCAGTCGGGACTCAGATGAGCAGCGCTGGCAAGGTTCGGTGCTTTTGAAGCCTTGTTCATGTCGATGTTGAGATCCAGACCTTCCAAATCGCTTGATATTGCGGTAACGCCGTTGGCGCCATTTGTCGCGCCAGTTTTGGCATCCTTCGGTACAGGCTCTGTGAAGCTTCTCTTGACGCCAGCAGACGTGTTCTGCCTTGCAAGACCAAATTCCTTGAGGTCCGCATTCGCGTCCTTGCCGCCAACCACCCACGTTCGCTTGTCGCTAGTAGTGGCGTGCTTCTGATGTAACCGTGAGAGCAGTGCCGACGTTCGTTCTGGGTAGGGAGGCATCTCGTCGCACACGGTGCGTAGTAGGTCGTCCGTTGGCATGGTGGCGAGGGTGAGATATTCGCATGCTCTTTGTTGAAGTTCGGAATCGAGCGAGTGGCTGTAGGCGCGGAAAGCCTGGAGAAGCTGAGGCTTGATCTCTGGGAACAAGTTCACGTACTTGACGTAGCACGATAGGAGTATCGCCCGTGTAGTTGACGAGCAGCCTCGCATCTTCGCGCTCAACGCCATAAACTGCTCGATTGGGCTACATCCTTTGCTATCCGCGATCAAGTGGCCAAACTCTCCGAGCAGGTATCCGCCAATCTTCACAAGCGTCTCGTGGCAGTCCGACTTGATGTACTGCAGGATGGTTTGCGCAGCGTAAACTTGTAGCTCCTCGTTGTTCGTCGTAATCTGGATGACTCGCTGCCAGACTTCGTCGCTGACGTGGTCTCCAGCCATCGCAATCAGTCGCAGCGAAATATCCACGTACCACTGAACGTCTGTGGCGTACTTCTCTGTCAGAATGGCAATCTTCAACACCATCTCTTCTCTTATCGCGTAGTCGGCGGACTGTAGATATCGCAGGAGTTCGTTCACGATCGCTTGCGCATTCGTCGGGTCGCACATGCTGTATAGCAGGTCCAGACCCTGTCTTCGCACACTGATATCCCTATCTCTTAACGACCCGATAATAATTGCCTGGTGCTTCTTAATAGGATCGAGGTTCTCAGTTCGAGCAGCTAGATGCGTCATGGCCTCCAATCCTAGATATCGCACGTTGGTTTCCCGAGATGCGATGAATTTGCCCAACCGTTGCGATATCTGAACCATCAGGTCTTGCTCTGTGTCGAGGTGTATTACGAGGTTGATAGCTTCGAAGAGGACGGCGTTCTGTGCGTTGTTCTGCTGTACATTCTTCGGCATTTCCAGGGCGGAGTCCATAATCTTTTGGAGCGCTTCGCGAATCAGTTTTCGAATATGGGAGTCCTCTGTTTCTGTCAGCGCATGTCTTTAGCAGTGGGAAGCGACACAAACCAGGTGGTGGGTAATACTGCAGCAGCTTCAGCAGCTTGACCAGTATCCACGGACATGGCACCTTGTAGTAGAAGTAGCCTTCAGCACACTCATTGTCCACGACGATCCGCTTCAGCCTATTCGCAGCTTTGATGTAGCTTCCCTTGTACTGCTCGGTGTTGTCTTGGACGAGTGCGGTAACCAACGAAGTGACCGAAAGCGCAACACCCATGTCGGGGTCGTCCATGAGCGATATTATCCGTTCCGCCCATTCGTGTTGTACGATCGCAGGGTGTTTCCGGTATAGCCGTAGAAGTGTGAGAGCCGCCTTCTTCTTCACAAATGCCTTGGAGGCCCTATCCAACGTCAGCTCGGCCATTGGAAGCGTTCTGTGCCACTCACGGTGATATGAGGAGCCTGTGGACTTCGGCGCTCAGTGCTTCTCCCAGTTCCTTTCCACCCACGTTGGCAATCGCATGTAGCGCCAAGCAGTTGTTGAGCTCATTGTGGTCCAGCAAGTCCTTCCTGATGCTGTTAACGACCAGGTGCAGCAGTTCGTGCTCCTCGTGTAGGAATAGGGTAACGGCGAGATATCCGATCTGCTTCTCCGAGTACTTGGTCGCCGAGATGAGGTTCACCGCTTCGAGATGTCCGAAATCGACGTTCCAACCGAGTATGTATATGTATAGGAGCTGCGAGGGTCAGCAACGGGGCAGGGAGAGCGGTGAGTGGAGTGTATACCTTGCAGACGTATTTCTTCTTTTGATAGCCATTCAGGCCAGCATCTGGAGAGAATCCTGTTAGACCAAATCATGGGGGAAGCGTGTCCGAGAAGTACCTCTGAACTTTTGCCTGCAGCGCTGTTAGCCTTGGGGGACTTTGTGGAACGAGTTGGAGTACCCACCGTATGTTGGCCAATTCCTTGTTGATGCGCTTCTCTTCCAGTTCTCTTGCGCGAGCATTTCTCAGATCAGCGATGAATGAGACCAGTCCTGTCCAGATTTGTAAGCTTCCGTCCCTGGTATCTCGTGGGCATGCCGTCATGTACCTCGCATCGTGGGCACGTTGCCCGACTGCTCCCGGCTGAAGAGGCCTCCACCAGCCCTCGCTGCCATCTTAGACGTGACCGAGGCCGCCATGCTGGTGGTAGTGGTCGTGGTGGGTGGGCGGTTCCCACCTGGTAGATAGCCCGACAATGCGGCGGCGGTAGTGGTGCGCTATGAGGGAATGGCGCGGTACGGGCCTCGAGGCAGGGTTTATGCTGGCGTGCGCGCTGCGGAGCGGAGGTGGATAGTTCGCGAAAGGGGCGCCCGTCAGCGGATTCTAGAGACTGGCTGCAGGCTTAGGGCGCATAAAAGGGCAGGACATGGAATTGGAACGGGCGAGAAAGGCTCATAACACGACCAGAAGCTATTCAGCTGGTTCCCTGAATGCACAGGTGAAGGTGGGTATAAGTGGATGTTCTACACATGGATGCCAAGCAAACAGGGTCTAGCGTGGGTAGCTGCTGCACCGTGCAAAGACAGCATCCATCCTATCTATCCTGCGCATAGCATACACCGGCCGATGCGTCCAGTCCAAGGTAAGACCAGATGGAACACCTCGAGGCATTGCCACGAAAACCTACACATGCGTATATCCGATCGACCGTACCGCTGCGCTTCCCCGAGCCTGACCGCAAGCCATGAACCGATGGAATGCCCTACACATGGAGATTGAGATCATAGGCCAAGGGGGTACAGCCATATGCCGGAGAGATGTCCTAGGAACGCCAAAGTCTCTATCTTTCATAGCGACGCATTGCATGTCTAAGTCCGAAGCCCAGGACAGACGCGTCTCGTCTTGGTCTGCAAACGCGTCCAAGCACTTCTCACACGGCGCCAAAGACATCATGGCACAATTCTGAACTTGAAGATTGTCATTTATTGGTATCAGGTATATCCACTCAGGCCCTTATCAAACGCCAAAAACACCCTCCCATGTCACTTCGGTACCCCCGCGCTTCAAATGCATCATCATCGTACGCCGTCACACATCCACCATTCCTAGCCATTTACTTCTGGGTAGTGAAGTCGGTCTCGAGGTTGGAGGTACCGTTGTTGTCGGCGCGACCGCAGTTGCACGCATCTTCAGTTCGCTTTCCGCAGGCGCATGCTGAGGAGTCGGAGGGAAGCTTGTTCTCAGTAACAGCCTTCTCGCAAGCTAGAAATTGTCAGTACATGTTTAACAACTGGTAGGTGGTAGGTGAAAGACAGTGTTGTGGTAGAGCCGGAAGAAGGCACATAAAGGGAGGCATACTGCATTGAAGAGCGGGCTGCTTTCCACAGGAGCACTTTGCCTCTTGAGCGCACACGCAGGTGCCGTTGTTACGTCCGCAGCAGACCATTTTGATGTTGTAGTGTTGGTGAGTTGGGTTGGTGGTTGGTAAAAGTAAGACGGTTTGTTGGTTTCGTAAGATTGTTTGTAGAGTGATTGAATCGTAGAGTTGAACTGGTAGCTGAATAACAATACATCGACCAGACAGCCCTTCTTTATACCCGTCACTCACTTCTACGACCTATGTCATGGACCCTGGATCCTAGCGGGAGAATCGCGTGAGTGGCTCATCTGGCCAATCAGAGGCCTCTTGATTACGCTGCAGTTACACAGTGAGGCTGGAACGCCACTGCCGCTTATTCACTGCCTTTTGCGTGTCCATTATTTGTTGGAGATCGTTTGAAGGTTATCTGATTGATATGGTTTCGTTGGAAAGTGGTGTGATGGAGTGTTCTAGAGGTTTCAGCCAATATACATTCTTGGCACCATTACAATTACAATACCACGAACACACTTCACGCTTGGAGTGCTATCTTGACCAGGCATTATCGTGAACAAGTGGAGAGTGATTTATTAGAAATATGTAGATACAAAACATGACCATGTCGTAGAAATCATTGCGGTGCCGTATTCGTCCGTTTCATTCCCTTGCCCTTTAACCTTTCCCTCGCCGGCGATTCTTTGACCACCGTACGAGGAGATACCTCTTCAAACTCCTTGACAATCTCTCTCGCCAAGGGGGTCCGTGGACGCTCATCAGTACCATCCCCAACAAACGTAGAGCCCCTAGCCCTACCTGGAAACGTTCCAGGCGAATCTGTAGCTCTCCGTGCCAGCTCCCTGACTCTCCCTGGTGATGCTCCACCGGGACTACCTAGTGTGCTCACATCACCCGAAGATCGACGCCCTTGGTGTTTAGACAGCGATTGCCTAATGCGAGAGTATTGCGTCCATTTGGTCAGCCTGGAAGTCCTTAGTACTTCCCCGACGGCTTCTTGGAGTTCTCTTACCGCATTGTTCTGCAGCGCCTGAAGCAGCACAATCGCGTTTTGGTGGTCTCTGCTAGCCGTTGATGGAGCTTGCTGTGCGAGACCTGCTTCTGTTGCGTTGGCGTGCTCTTTGATCGTCTCAAGTAAGCCACTATCCTCCTTGATCTCTTCAGCGATAGCTGCGGCGCCCTCCAGTGTCTGAGCTAACAAGCCTAGGCCGAGCAGTCCTTCGGATCGCGCTTCGGGGTAGAAGCGCTGTCGGACTAGCTGGGCGATGGGTCGAGCAATCTGAGGTACTTGTAAGATCTGTATTTGTACTGCTTCAACGTCTTTTTCTGCGTTTGGTCGTCCAAGATATCGCAGCATGGCAACGATGGTACGGCCAAGCTCGATCATTGGGTTCTTCATTGTAGTGCTTGGTAAGGGTTTGGCCGGAGCGAGGGCTTGCTCGACGATGTGTGAGAAGATTACAGTGTCGGCTGAGACGTCCGGGTCAATTGCTTCTGTGTCAGGGCCGACGGTCTCGTACATGACTTTCTCGATGTTGTAAAAGTTGCCGGTGACGAGCTTGCATAGCATGGCCGCTGCCTCGCCACGGACCGACGGATCGTCCAGTACGAGCATGCGACAGCATGCTTCCATGAGTCCGGCATCTGCAAGCAAAGCCCTGTTAGCCTCTGGAAACGTGAGATGCCGCATGAAACCTGCTGCGGCATAAAGAAGAGCAGGCTTATTGCTCTTTTTGAGAATCACAATCAGTCGAACATGTAGCTCCATGATCTTGACCATGTCAATGCAAACCTCATCAGACATGGCCAAATTTCCCACCATGACACAAGCGCATATCGTAGATGGGTATGCGCTGTCCCATGGTGCCCGTAGCTTTGCCTCTAGTCTCTCAATGACAGGACTTCTGACATTGAAATTCTGTGCAAAGACATCTGTAGCCGAGGCAGCAGACAGCAACCCTATCAGTTGTGCCAGTAGGAGGACCTGGGCTTCATCTGACGTGACGGTATCGGCGTTCTTGCTGGTTGCGAGTTCCTCGAAAACAGCATCGATGTCTTCTGGCTCGAGTCGCGCCTCAAACTCCAGCATAAGGGTGACGAGCTCGTCGAGCAGTTTTGGTGTTGCTATCCTTTGCTGGAATTCCGGATCTTGGAGGTAATGTACCAGAATAGCCACATATTCCAGATGATGGTCTTCATCGTACTGGAGTGCGACATTCAGCAAGCTCTTGAATGTCTCGAGTGAAACTTCGTCTTTGAACTGGTCGTCTGTCAAGTTGCTCGTGGTCCAGTTGAGCAGGTCCGTGGCATAGTCAAGCGCGGCCTCTGGTATTCTGTCAAGTACTAGGAAGGTGCATATTGTGGCGTCCAGTCTGATGGTGGCCGCCGCAGCTTTGGCGGGTTCTATTCGCATGAGCTGTATATCTGGAGGATCCCGTGGCATTGCTCACCAAAGTCATTGCAAAGATTGAAAAGTACGGCCAATGTGGTCAAGCGTAGCTCTGGCGATGGAAGGCAGCCAGCGATGGCTTGGAGCTCTCTTACGGCGAGCTCCCTGTTGGTATCTTGACTCCAGTCAGACTGTTTGCGTCGTACAAGGGTCTTTCCTAGGATACAGTACCATTATCAGCAACCGAGTTGCCGATGACTCTTAGGTATTGCTTCGCTATGGGATCTTCATGGAGCACGGTAGACAAACCGCGAAGAGCGTAAGCAAGGATTCCGCTGTCTCTGAAGGGCGCCTGCCATCTTTCTATACACTGTCAGCATGGTTGGCTTTGCACAGAAGCGTTACATACTACGACCGCCAACAGCCGTCCCGAACAGCTGCAAGGTCTTCTCTATCGCTTCGTTGTCCCCACTTGATGCAAACGCATCAAGCTTATGCACGTAACCTGTGAGGGCAGCGGTCTGACCTGCAGGGTTCCCTTGGAGTAGGCGCTCCAAAGACGCTATATAGTCGCCAAGCTCCTCATTGGTTAAGGGCATATCGCAAAAGTGTGAAGATGAAGAAAGGCAGTCGCCGCAAAGTTGTGGCAAGGCTCAAGTCTGCATAGTGGCGGGCGAGATCGGGAGGAGGTAAACAGGCTACTCTCAGTCCGGAAGCAGGGCTACAAACAATAGCTACTGGCAGGATCGTGTTTGATTAACTCGATAAAAACTGCAATGGTTCAGCCACTTGTTTTTCTCAAACACGGAAAGACGCGGTGACCTCCTCGGTCCTGCAGCAGCGTCGACCCACCCGCCGCGGTTGGCGTTGCCTTTGTCCGATTCCGTTCTGGACCCCTGGAAACAGATCCCTTGGCAACATTTGAGCCATCTGGCACCCAACACCCAACACCGCACGACGTCAAGCATCACGCCCGAACACCTGCTCCGACCACCGACCCTCGTTTGACCCAGCTCCAACAACCAATTCGCCATCATGACGCGCGCTACCCAGACCATCAGCATTGGCATGCTCCTGACCTCCGTACAGCAGCCCCTTAGCTCTTGACATATCAAGACGTGTATGCTAACATGTGAAAGATCTACCTTTCCCTCTTCCTCCAAGTCGTCCCTCTGCCTCAGAAGATCCAAGAGGAGATTGTTCCTTTCGTAAGTCGCACCTCTGCGTGAATGTCTCGGCCCCACTACCTTCACCACTTACATCACCACCACCATCGTTCCCGGACTCTCGCTAACCAGACGGCAGCTTCCCTTCTGGGCTCTCATCTCCTTCGGCGCATACCTCCTCTTCAAGCTCGGCTGGGGAGTCTTCACCTTCAACGACGTACCCCAAGCGCACGCGGAGCTGATGCAGCAAATAGCAGAGGCGCGGAAAGACCTCCAGGCAAAGGGCGTAGATGTTGGTGAAGACTAGACAAGATAGATTTCCAGGGAGCAACATAATTAGTCTTGGTTTGGAGCACAAGGTGGGGATATCACAGAATCTGTAATGGATGGGTATTTAAACGTTCTACAAATGCTATGCCAGGACAACTTCTAGTCTGGCCAAATTCGAAGCTCATGCTGCCGCAGCGGCTTCCGCCTTCTTTTGTGCCTGCTTCAACTTCTTCTCCGTCCTCATGAACTCTCGAATGCCCACGGGTATGTCGTCGAACAGCTTGTCTTTATCCGCATCATCGAACCCAGTGTCCCAATTCGTTTCACTGCCACCACCATCGTCATCCATACTCGTAGCAACGTGACTCGGCGACTTGTCTCCCGCCACCATACTCCCTGTTCCTTTTCCTTCCTGCCTTTGAGCCTGCATCGCCGCTCTGGCCTGGGCGCTCTTCTCTGCCCACTCTTCCATCTCGTCCCGGTACATGTCCCACACACAATTCACGCAACCGGACATGCAGCAGTTATCCGGTTCTTCGGGTCGTGGGGGGACTAATACACCAGCAATATTTTGAGAGGAGTTCACAATCTCCTGTTTACGTTCCTCCAATGCAGTTGTGGAGCCGAAGATTATACGGGCTTTTGCAAATGTTTCCTCTTTCTGCGTTTTTGGCGGCTCTTTGGGTGGCTCAGGCGTCGTGTGAGATAGTGATTGTACTTCAGACAGTGGTTTCTTTAGCATATCTAGATATTGTTAGTTTTGGTCTTGCGAACAATGTGGATGAGAGTCCAACCTGCATAGAAGCCAGTGATAGGTCTGGCTTGTTCGCCTTCCGGTGCGATGTACCCTTTGAAGCGACGCTGTATCCGATCGCTATTCTGGAGTCCGATCCTTCCTGCCTCTATCGAAGCACGCGGCCTGCGCCATGCTCTCGTGCATGAAGCGCAGAGTCTCTGGCGCAATGCCTGTGGGCCTGAGTATGCGATGTGTTCCATTATCCCAAAGGAATGAGCGAAAGACGAGGCAGTCACAGATACTCCAGTGTGTCTCGTTACGACATGTCGATGTTGGCCACTTTGGTCGAATGCCAATTCGCAAGCTGATTGAAAGTACCGATTGACGGTTCGACGTCATTTTGCGCCGCCGTTCCGAATGTCGGCCAAAGCTGCAGCGAACGCCGACAGGGTAACAACACGCGACGCGTCACATTCACTGTTATCGTCGCATACCCCACCAGCACATATACCAATCTATTCCTACCACGAGCACCCACAGATATCGCGCCGATACTACGACTGCAACTGATCCACCATATGCGAACACGATGAACGAGCCACCGGCGAAGCGGAGGAGGACCATTTCGCCTGACGAACAAACATCAAGCCCTCTGAGGAAGCCTCCTCGACGACCGTCTTTCGCATCGCCTACAAAAGCCAGCCTTGCGCGCAACTACCCGAATCTCCTATCTTCGTCACCTCTCAAAGCATCTCCAAGACGCAACAGGCAAGCGGGGTTGTCAGCCAGACGTGGTCCTCGAGCAAGGGAAGAGACCGATTCGGGACTACCGGGTGATGAAGATGAGCCAAAACTCCCGGGAACCCCGTCTCAGAACGACCGCGAAAATTCAAAGCAGCCACGCCGAGGTATCCTCTTCTCCTCACCAAGCAAGCGAACTCCGCGTGTCAGAGATCCTGTAAAACAGCCTCCACCGACTTCGAGAGCACCAGCAGTACAGCCCGATGATATCACAGGGCCTATAGAGGATGGCCCTGTCGAAGACGTCACTCAGGAAGTGGTACAAGAGAGACAACCTCCAGATCCAGAGATCGAAAGAAGGAAACAAGAGAAGGCACGTCTGCAGCGCGAGGTAGAAGAGTTGGAGGCTCAAGTGTCAAGATGCATTGACGAGGTGGTCAAAGAGCAGCGCCGTGGTCCAGAGGATTCTTTACGGCCTCCAGAGCGCGACAGTTTGAAGTGAGTGTAATGATTTCCTATTGTAGCGAAGCGATGACTGACGCAATACTAGGAAGTTCATATCCGAGATCAGTGGTACTGATACAGAGCCGGAGAAGTCAGCACCAGTATCAAGTCTGCTTTCATCGTTCCTACCATTCGCCGCCCTTTCCGTCCCTCCACCACGTCCGAAACAAGCAGAAAAGCCAGTTCCGTCCCATCGGCCAGTGGAATTAGCAGATCCCTTGCCTTACCTAGAGATGTTTACATCACTCAACTTCTCCACACAACTTAGCCTGCCTCGTAGCAAGATATCTCCGGCGTCGCAGCGCGTTCATCAGAAACACACCATCGATATTGCCGGCCCACAGAAGCTGTTGACGGCCCAGGTTTCGATTACAATCGACGCGTTGGCGCACGAGATTATCGACATGCAGCTGCTTCGGATCTCACCATGGGCCGAGCGTGAATTAGGCACCTACATCCGCGCAAGAGCGCTCGAAAGAGATCTCGGTAATGCCTCCTGGGCCATGGACTCGTACTGGCAAATTGCAAGGAAACGCGCGCAACACTGGCACAAGTGCGAAACCAACTTTGCACATCTACTCGTAGGCCGCTCCGCGGAAGATACCGAGAACACTCAGCCAGTAAAATCCATGACGCGCAAAGACCTAAGCAGGAACTTGGGTCGCGATACCTTGATTCTACAGGACAAACACGTCTTACTGAAGCTCAATTGGCGGATCGGCTTCGATTGGACGGGCGAGGCGGAGTCGGATGTTACTGTAGAAGCCGCGTTTCCTCAGGTGTGGTCGGAAATGGGTGATGGTGCTGCAGCTTTTAAGAAGATACCCCAAACTTTTGCTTCTCTTGTTCGCACAAAGGGTGCTTTTCAGGCTACTAGTGTTATGGTAGCTTTACTGTTTTCTCAGTAGATGGGATGTTTATGACGCATCCTGAAGATATATGGCTTATTCTTGAGAGGGAATTCAATCGTATTCCATATCATTGGCGAGTTCTTTGTATTTGCCATACAACTCATTTGAGAGCGTCTTTGCGTACGTGTAGGTATGCCAAACTGTACCATGGTTGAGCGACTAATTCCTCACCAGTAACACCTCTGACTCCCAGTCGCTAAGTGCGCGCATACTGTGGTTGCCATCCACTTCACTTCATCCTATGGTACTGCAATGGCGCAGAACCGACAAGCCACTTATAAATTCCGCAATGGATACTGTTCTCGCTTTCGTATCTTCCAGCTTTCCATCTTTCCTTAACCTCCGCAACTAATAAACTTTACGAATACCTCCCGGGTCTATCTTCATCGCAACTTTTGTTGTCACAATCACCCACATGTTCTCCAAATCATCTTCATAACTCTCCGTATCACCGCCATGGCTGAACACAAGACCATCCAGAAGCACTTCCCCGCGGCCTTCCGCAGCATGCGCTGCCTCTCCTGTGGCCACTACGCCACCAAAGGCAAGATCTTCCGCAGAATTATCAAAACCATCTCCTCCGAGGCATATCTTGGTGTAAAGACACTTACACTACACTGCAAGTGTCCCGGTTGCGACACCGCGATCATCATCGAATCTGACCGCAAGAACAGGGACTACCGTATTGTAAAGGAGGCGAGATCAGAGCAGCGAACGCACGAAGAGAAAAAGTGAATGCGAAACATACCGTGGCTACTCGTGTCCCATTAAAAGATGCTGAGGATGCTGAGGATGCTGAAGTTGCGCGGGCTGTGTTCAAGGGTGGAAAGAGGAGTTCATCAGGTTCGGAGCCACAAGAGGAATCGTTGGGCGTGGAGTTTTCGGTGTCTAGGCCGGCGAAGAAGGTTAAGAAGGATTTTGCGAAGGCACTTGGCATCAAGGGAAAGATGAATAGTATTCAGTAGCCAGCTGACAGGCGCACATTATGATACACAGAAGACCATCCCGATAGACTACTCTATGAAGACATATTAGAGATTACCACACTTAGAGAATACATATCCTGTTCTGCAAACAGGCCGTCATTAGTAAAGGTTCCAGCTTTTTCTTCCTTGGTTAGTCTAAAGTGCATCTATCGACGTTGACCTAATTGCCTAAACATCGACCTCACATTGTACCCTCCTTCCATCGTGTACCACATACGGTACTTGAGTAGACAAACTTTTCCTGTTTTGCAGCCAAATTTGGGTGGATCCAGGGTTAGAAGACTATTGAGCAGATGATGGCGAACTGATCGTCGACTGATCTTGTGCACGTCGTGTTCGAGTGACTCCATCCAACGCCTTGCCGTCCGTATGCATTGTGTCTGTTCCAAACGACCCATGCTCTTAGAACTGTTCCAATGTGACATCATTGAATTATACTCGCCCTCAACTATCTTGGGAAGAAGCATGAGTAATACCTCTTCCGGTTGCATAGAGTAATCGGGGGTTATTCGAAGTGACGGATGGACCATGCCCGTCGTTCCGAATACTTTGTCCCGCAAATCTGAGCATTCTGTCCCCCGAATCAGGTAATAAATATCCAGCCAGTCCTCACACCTGACGTTCTGCGCACGACGGATTTCAGATATTCGTGTTCGTGCGTTGGACACATCTGAACCTTTAGATAGAGACTCCAGCGTATTCCACGCGTCGGTCACTCTACTCCAACCCGAGTAGAATGTTTCCCATGATAGGATCTTCGAGCCAACGCGTATATTAACGACCTTACCGAGTACTATCTCTTGAGTGACCCACAGTCTTGACCAATATGGATTGCATAGAAGGCGACGCAAACATGGTATATGTGTACTGAATCCCTGATTATCCACACTTAGCTCTAGGTGGGTTCGCAAAGTCGGGCGAACACTCTCACGGACGATCAAATCTACAAGCTCGTTGCTACCTTCGAACTCCGACCCAAGCCAGACCTCGACAGCAGCTACGCTATAGATTTCTGCCATTTGGTTGACCTGGTGGGTCTTTTCGTCGTCCTTTCCTTGATTGATGCAAATTTGATCGATCCAGAACCAGGTTGAGCCACATGTCCGTCTGACTACTAGAAAGTCGTATAGATTTTGCCGAACCGAAAGCCAGCCTCGGC